CACACACACACACACACACGATGCGTTACTCTGCGCTGCGCAAAACTCCTCATTTGAACAGTCAATAGCAAATACTTAAACTAGTAACAAAACATACTTGCAGTCGCTGATTCAGAAGCGCCAGATTGTCATAGCAAAGTCGGAATTTACCCTTTTTTTTATTTTTTAGAAATAGCCTTTTGTGCAGCCAGCTTTGTACTCTTCTAGGTTCAAAAAACTGTCGTCCATAAAATGTGTTGCACAGATTCGAACATCTGGGTTGTGCTGTTCTGTTGTAACTAAATCTTAACCAATGATTCCTAATTGCATCTACTTCCGGAAGGCCAAATAAAGTGCTTTTGCTTTCACACTGAAACACACAGCGTCTCCCTGACATCGCTGCATCAACACTACTGCTGTTCCTGAAACCATGCCTTCTTTCTTTGCGTGCACATTTGGGCGGTGTTATGCAAATCTTCCCACATTGTGACGTAGGTATGTGGGGGCGTGTTAGAACGAGCCGGTTTAGGTAGGTGTGGCTGACTCTTAACTTTTATAAAGAATATCTCTTTGTATTTGAGACTTTAGTCTTTGCAACTTTACAGATCTTCTTTATGCACCAAGAGCTTGTAACACTCCAAAGAGAAAGGAAAAATTGAAATCGCATCATATGACCCCTTTAAAGGATTTTAGACAAGTTGAGTCAAGTTCTGAAAGATTTATAGTTCACTAGGTGAATAACAAGGTTAATATAAACTAAAGAGTTCACAGAAACAGTGAGGCACAAATTAATGTTAGAAATGACTATCAATCAATTATGAAATTAGGCTTTTCTCTTTTCAGTTGACTATCATGATTAAATGATTTCTAAAAGACAAATGACAGGTACTGTAAAATGCTCTGCAATGTCTCTTTAAGAATAATATAAATATCACAAATAAGCTGGGTAATAATTACAACTTTTATTGACACCTTTCGTAAACCAAATAATATGTTTGACACCTTTTTGGAAAATGAAATACAGTCAGTAGAAAGAATGTCAATTATAATGTAAAACCATGTTAAAATATATAAAATGTTATTAAAATATGATTGTACACAAAGCAGTGCATAAACTGTAGTATTATCAGTTAAACAACAATTAAAATATTTAAAGAAGAGACATCTGAAGGCAACAGTTCCTAACCTGGGGCCTGAAAATAATGTAGTTAAAATGTGTGTGTTATTCAAAACACTATTAAATAACTCCTGACCAGTCATCATTAACAGTAGCTTTATGTGCTGCTCTTTTCTGAACTCTTTCTTCACACAAGTGTGTTCTCTTCATTAAAGCTACAAGGGTTGCCAGGTATAATGCGAGTGACGAAGATCAAAAAGTGTTCCCTGTTATTAACCCCCATATGACACCTAAGATTTGTGACCCACAAAAACAGATTTGGTTTCACGTGATGTAAGGCTTCACAAGAGACATTTCCCTAGCTCTCAACAAAAGAAAAGAGTTGAAAGTGCAGGAAATAAAGTGCAATAAATACAGTGTGAGAATTCAAATTCAAAATTGCATGTCATACCGGACAGTAAGACACTGCAACACAACAGACAAATGACAGAACAGCATCTCATTCAAATCAATAATATACAGGGCAACAGAAAACATAAACCAAAAATAATACATTTGAAAATGATGAATAAAAAAATACTGTGTTCGTTACAGGAATACAAGCGCAGCTCCAAATGTGCAGCCGTGAAGGACGCGTGAAATATGCAAAAGCAAACTGAGGAAAGTTGTCCAGGATGGTGACTGAACTGCTGTCACATACTGGAGTTTAAGGTCCAGATGTTTTCTAAAAAAAAAAAGGATAAATATTCATAACTCTCTGCGGTGGGTGGTAGGGCTTTCTGTATTATAGGCCCTAAGCTATGGAATAAGCTGCCCCATAATATTCGTGCTGCCTCCTCTCTCCAGACCTATAAGTCTCAACTTAAAACTCATTTGTTCTGTGAATAACTCATTTACCTCCCTGTGTCTGTTTCCCAACTTTTTTGTATGTTACATGACCACCCTCTTGACATAACTGATGTTCATCATCATCTGATTGCATGACCTCTTATCTGTATTTATTTGTTGTCAACACCTGTTTGTGAAGTGACGTGTGGCCAAGTATGGTGGCCCATACTCGGAATTAGTGCTCTGCATTTAACACACACAAACCGTGAACACACACCAGCCATTTTTTTGCTGCGGCGCCCGGGGAGCAGTTGGGGGTTCGGTGCCTTGCTCAAGGGCACCTCAGTCGTGGTATTGAAGGTGGAAGAGAGCGCTGTACATTCACTCCCACTTACAATCCTTGCTGGTACGAGACTCGAACCCGCAACCTTGGGTTACGAGTCCGACTCGCTAACCATTAGGCCACGACTTCCACGAATTACACTTTAAGGCTACAATTATTTGATCAACAATAGAGTAAACAGAATATTGTGAAATATTATTACAATTTAAAATAACTGTTCTATTTTAATATATTAAGAGCTCTGTACATTCACTCCCCCCACCTACAATCCCTGCCGGTACGAGACTCAAACCCCGCAACCTTGGGTTACGAGTCCGACTCTCTAACCATTAGGCCACGACTTCCCCCTTTGTCTGAATGTCCCCTCTGGTTGTCAGGTGTATTTTGTTTGCCAGTTGCTTGTATTATTTTGTGTAGTGTCCTTGGGTTCTTGAAAGGCACCATACAATAAAACATAACAATAATAATATTCACAAACATTAGTCAGCACTAAATTACATTCTTGGTATATCATGATCAGTGAGTTTATAATCACTATACCTGCCAGTGATGTAAACTCACTTCATCCTGGTTGATCAGAATGAGACTCTTCAGCTTGATCACAAGAGACTGAAATATCAGTGATGAAAAAAAAATATCAGTATATATGGATGTCCTAGGTGGTTTTAATCAACTTTATAATTGAAGAGGTTGGTGTTATGATAAAGGAAAAAAATAGTTTTCTAAAATCTCTTCACAGTGAGAGAGAATCTAGTACAATACTCACAGTCTGGTCTCACATGCTCCATGCTGTCCCATCTAACAGGTTTCACTATATTTGTATCTATTGACCCTTTAGTTTGTGACTTTTCCTGGTTGTTCTTCATCTTCTTGTTCTTGCTCCTCTGATGATCAAACTGCAGTTTGGTGGGCATCATTTTGGCTGCAGTGTTTCCTCTTCAATTTTTTCTGCCTGTGTTAAACAAGACATTTAACATTTTGGCAACAATCGCGTGTGTGTGTTCAGTCCTTAGTAAAATAAACTACTAATAAGTTCACTAAAATGAGATCCACTCGTCGAAGAAAAAGTGTTGAGTTCTACTTTTGTTTTTCCTCGAAGGCACGCGCATCGAAGGCTCTAATGCATTATCCTTCGTTTTTCTTTAGTGCACGAAACAAAGTTTCCTTTTGTTTTTCCTTGCAACGCAATCGAATCTGTCTCTAGCCTACACCATCAGCTGAATTGTTTATTTATACTTTAGCATGATTCTGCATGTGCTGTACAGTTGACATGCGGCTCTTCACTTCCTTCAGAAAGTTGATGAATGATGCAACTTCAGAACAGAATGATGCAGAGATTGTAAAAGTCACTCTCAAGCAGCTGGCGCTGCTGGCACTTTGCATCTTATTTCACTGTCAAAGTGACACAACTGACCAGGACACAAAACTTTACTCTCATATATCGTAAATAATCCTTGCCAGGGTTAATAATTGCCTTAGATTGTTCTTTAATTCATATAATAAAAGTAACATACAAACTACATAGGATCTCTAATGCAAGCTGAACACCTTTTTAAAACTTTTTTATAACTAAAACTATGCAAATGTCATATATTAATAATAATCAACAACCTTTTTTAAAACCTACCTCTCTTAGGATTGATAATGTAGCAAATTCCTCTGTGAAAACCTCCTCGTTGTCCTCTGAAGATCAGACAAAAAACAAAGAAATTATCCAACACTTTTAAACACTTCAAATTCAGCACCGAAGAGAAAATTCATTCCTTTGGAGTTTATTTTGCCACGCTGAAGTCACATTGCAGCTGTCAATCACAAGGAAGAACCGCCCAATCAGACCAAAACACAGCAGCCAAGCCCCGCCCACAGTCTTGTGCTTCAAGAAAACGCATGTGGGACTCACTGAACAGAGCTGACATGACCTCTGCAGACATAACAGTGTGAATAAATAATAAGCATAGTGAAATGTTATTGAAAAATAAGTTAGTGAAAAAAAGGTTCTCAAGACGCGTTTTCTTAAAGCTGAACACCTTTTAGAACGCTATAATTTTGTAATGAAAATAAGGTTGGTCATGACCCCGAAAAACTTTTTTATTATAACCATGTGAGAAACATACTGTATTTCCCAAAGAATATATATGAATTATGACGTGTGCTCCCTATTTAAAACTAGCGATGCCATTGAATCCTTCGCAAATGTTCTTTTGAGTCGGTTCTTCGCAAAACTGAATCAATTTGTGATTCAGTTCGATTCGTTCCGATGCTCTCTCAGTGAATCATTTGGAGCGGTTCTCAATCTGTTTTGGGAACAAATTGTGTGCTGTATAAAGTGTATATGTAAATTGAATTAGTCTGTATAATCAATATTTTTGGGCTGTTTCAAATGAATTAAAAATACAGTAGATTATATAATGTGTATATCTGTTATAAGACCAACTTTGAGTTAAGAAAGGAAACAGATGGGCCAGTCAGATCACTTTCCTGAGACATTTTTGTATCAGATTTCTCCTGTTATCTGTGAGGAATGTCTGGGCGGTTAAAACACTATCAAAATACATCTAGTTTTGAGAATACTAGTCAGAAGAGAAACGTCTAGGAATCAGCAGTGTAATGCCGAGGTGAGTATAAGAGACTCTCGTGCGATTTGATATTTTCTTGCTACAGTTTTTTGACGAATATTACAGATGAATTGTCCATTGACTGATTAGAGACGTTTTGCTGGACAAATTCATCAAACTGAATCAATGTTTCTCATTAGTGTCACTCTCGTCTGTCTAGTGTTGTCTATTGTCTTGATGGTGATTTCAAGAGGAACTGTTCGTCCAAAAATGACCGACAATTCTGTCATCATTCACTCATACATGCCTTTCCAAACCTGTATGACTGACTTTCTTCTTAGGAACATAAAAGGAGATGCTTTGAAAAATGTTCAAGCTGTATATATATTCACATATAAGAACCATACATTTACAAATGAGAATGTTGAGCTTTTGGTGGAGGGTAACATTTTAGCACACAAGATATTAAATTTGGGTCACAGGAATATTACACATTGGCTTGTATGGTCTTTTATGGTGTGTTTTGTGCTTTTTGGAGATTTACAGCCCCTGCTTACTTAAAGAGCAGCTTGAACTCTTCATCCTAATTTCCTTATATATGCTTTTGTGTTCCATTATAACATGAGGGTGAGTAAATGATGACGGAGTGTTTCTTTTTGGCTGAGCTATTCCTTAAATGAGTCAGAGTTTCTGTCCGTTTATTTGTAACTGTCTCAACGCTCCAATATTTAGATGCTTATTTAGCTCATTTTGTTGTATTTCATTAATTCCTCATTATAAAGCATCTGAGATATGCTCTCTGTGCATCAGTGTAAAAGTGAATGTAGGTACTTACTAAAAGTGTCTGTAAAGTGTCCTGAACTCGCAGGAATCCCAGCCTGCAGGCAGTCAGACAGGTCGAACGGGAGGAGAGACAGGGAAGGTGTAAAAATGACACGTTCTAAACTATTTATGCATTGAAACGTCAGTCACTTTTAAACACCCACGTCACACATGCACATGTTTGATCTGTGATGATCTGCAGGTGTGTGACTGTTGATGTGTAACGGGGCGAACGAGACGAGAGACGTGCGGATCCATCTGCAAAGCTTTATTCTTAAACATAGTCAAAACAGGCAAGGGTCAGACAATGACAAACAGGTATTTAGAGGGCAAGACAGAAGAGTGATCCAATAAACAGGCGTAGGTCGATCAACGGCGAACATAATCCAAAGGATGAGGCAGGCAGTAATCCACAGACAGATATTAATCCAGGCGAGGTGCGAACAGAATCCAAACAACAAGACAAGAGAGAAATCCAAGACAGGTAGGTTATCAGGAACAGACAATCAGGCAAAACTAGATGTTACGAAACAGGACTAGTACTAGGAACTAGATTAAACCCAGACAGGATACTGGCTCCGTAAAGTGCTACCACTAGGAGAGTGATAAACGCAGACAATACTCAGCGATTAGAGAAGGATTTGAGTGGTTGTTATATAGTGTGTGTGTGATTGGCTGCAGGTGAGACCAATCAGTGCAATGGAGCATGGGAAATGTAGTCCAGGGTGACGTGCAACAGTTTGTGTGGTGTGAGAGACAATGTAATCAGAAGGTGACCTCTGGTGGCGAGCAGGCGGAAGACCCCGGACTGGATTCGTGACACGATGATCTTGATGGGGGTCATATCTCAATACCTGCTTACTGTGAGTATCATAAAGTGTTTGCCACGCATGCTTGAGTGGTTGCTAGGGTAATATGGATTGTTTTTTCCTGTCTGGCATTAAAAAATAAATAAATATATACAAATAAAAAAGAGAGCCCCCCCTCAAATCTGTGCTATTTTTTTTTTTACATATGGCTTGAGTTCCTCCTTCAATGCAAGGAATAGTCAAGTCAAGTCAAGTCACCTTTATTTATATAGCGCTTTTAACAATACAGATTGTGTCAAAGCAACTGAACAGCATTAATTAGGAAAATAGTGTGTCAATAATGCAAAATGACAATAGCAAACACTCATTTTTCAGTTAAAGACAGTTCATCATTCAATTCAGTGATGTCATCATCCAGCTAAGTTCAGTTTAAATAGTATCTTTGCAATCCTAAGATCAAGTAAAACTAGCAATGAGATACAGCCTTGGTCTGACGCAAGAAGCAAGTCATTTGTAATTTTAACAAGTGCAGTTTCTGTGCTATGAAATTCTTCATAGAGATCATTTTTTTGCAGGAAGGAGCACAATGCTCCTTAATAGTAGGAGCAATAATGCTGAATAGTAACCCAAAAATGAAAATTTGCCAAGATAGTTGAGTTTGAAAAGCTGCGTGTTTGTAAGAAACAAATCCATTATTAAGTATTTATTTCATTTTAAAGCATTGCTTCTGGTTAAAATTGAGTCCTCTCTCCTGTGAAAAAGCAGTCTTGTTGTCACGATTGCTGCCGGAAGGAACACGGAGCCGTGGAATACACGAAATAGTCTTTATTAAATCCCAGACACAGGGGTAAATCCAACTCAGGAACAAGGAATGACACACGAACACAAATTAGTAGACCCGACAAAGAAACATGAGGCAGACTACACATTATATACTAGACTTGACGAGGGATAGACAAGTGCGGGGAATCAACTAATAATCAAACTTAACGAGGACAGGAACATGACCAAATAAGGACAAACAGGAACAGAAATGGGCAAAACACGACACAGACAGTCCAGAATCCTGTCACTTGTCTGATTTAGGAGAGAAATATGTACAGATCAAGCACCGTTTACAAGCAAAAACAGTCCAAAACTGTTCTAAACAAATATTGTTGGTGGATTTTGATGTCAGAGGTCAACAGTAGATGGACTTTTTCACTGAAGAAAGCATTATTATGCATTATGGAATTCAGCCAAAAGCAACAGTTTTAAGTTAAAAGTGCCTTAATGATGGATTTGTTTTTTACAAACCTGCAGCTTTTGGCTTCACAAGATGTTAACTGATGGACTGGAGTGGTGTGGATTACTTTTTATCAGCTGTTTGGACTCTCATTCTGATGGCACCCATTCACTGCAGAGGATCCATTGGTGAGGAAATTATATAATGCTAAATTTCTCCAAATCTGTTCTGATGAAGAAACAAACTTGTATACATCTTGGATGGCCTGAGGATGAGTACATTTTCAGTAAAACGTGGAAATGTGAAGTCGTGGCCTAGTGGTTAGAGAGTCGGACTCGTGACTTGAGCAAGGCACCGAACCCCCAACTGCTCCCCGGGCGCCGCAGCAAAAAATGGCTGCCCACTGCTCCGGGTGTGTGTTCACGGTGAGTGTGTGTGCACTTTGGATGGGTTAAATGCAGAGCACTAATTCCAAGTATGGGTCACCATACTTGGCCACATGTCACGTCACTTCACTTCTTAAATATTCATTTTAAAGCAACAGTTTTAAGTTAAAAGTGCCTTAATGATGGATTTGTTTTTTACAAACCTGCAGCTTTTGGCTTCACAAGATGTTAACTGATGGACTGGAGTGGTGTGTGTGGATTACTATCAGCTGTTTGGACTCTCATTCTGATGGCACCCATTCACTGCAGAGGATCCATTGGTGAGCAAATTATGTAATGCTAAATTTCTCCAAATCTGTTCTGATGAAGAAACAAACTTGTATACATCTTGGATGGCCTGAGGATGAGTACATTTTCAGTAAAACGTGGAAATGTGAAGTCGTGGCCTAGTGGTTAGAGAGTCGGACTCGTGACTTGAGCAAGGCACCGAACCCCCAACTGCTCCCCGGGCGCCGCAGCAAAAAATGGCTGCCCACTGCTCCGGGTGTGTGTTCACGGTGAGTGTGTGTGCACTTTGGATGGGTTAAATGCAGAGCACTAATTCCAAGTATGGGTCACCATACTTGGCCACATGTCACGTCACTTCACTTCTTAAATATTCATTTTTGGGTGAACTATTTCTTTAAGGGTTTGTTCAAATCACTAATTTAAAGTATGATCAACAGTAATAGTAACTTAGCAAAGAGAACTTAAACCACCCCACTTACTACTAGATCATTTAACAGTTGCTCTTATCCAGACTGAGGTAAAAAAAAAAAAATCAAACATGCTAAGGGCAAAGAATTTAGTAGGGATGCTAGTCCCTGTCAATATATCCAGCTACTACTAAATCATCCCTAGCAATAGTTTTGATCAAACAATTAAATATATGTATATGTAACCACTGTTGTTGTCATTTTGGCTGCATCTGAAATAGGTTATACCATTGATAAAACCTG